AAAAAAATTTTATTTTCACAAAGCACGACATGTCACGTTAAATCGTTTGTAACATATATGAATTGATCAACAAGGGGGTTCCAATTTTTCTAGATTCGATTTCCAAATTTGGTAAAATACTTGACTGTATTATTATTAATAATATCTAGGGGTAATAATATGTGTGACATTCAGTTGTCCCCCATATATTTACTTACCCCTAGATAATATATAATTAATCTGAAAATTCTTCAACTGTTTCAACAGTATCATATATATTTCTTAATTCTTGCAAAATTATTAATAAGTTTCCCTTTGTTTTATTATTCGAACTACTATATTTTGGTCATAATGTTTCAGGAAGGGAAAGAAGTATAGAATTAATAATTGATAATAACTCTTTTTTATTCATATTTTTTTCATCTTGCTGTGCTGTTTCTTCTTGTTCTGTTATTGGAATAGGATTTCAGGTATTAGTAGAAGCTCCTTGCAATAAGGTTTCTTTCAACAATATATTCCTTTTTTCTTTTGCAAGATGACTAAAATTTTTCATTTTTTCACTCAAAATAACATCATCTTTCAAATTCTAAAATGGCTTCTTGTGAAAAACTGGTTCTTTCTCAGTTCTACTCTAAAACATTGTGATTCAGCACTAAAATCAGGTATTTTTCATGGTCCCAAACTTTCTCTTTCCTTAAATCCAATCATATCAAAAAGATTGGTATGTAGCTAAATTTTTAAAATATTTGATTTAAATTACAGTTTACTCTATAATGGACCATTTGAAATCATAGATTATATGTTAATATGGGACATATAAATTGGGCTTAAATTCAGTCCATTATAGGGCAGGATTTATTATAGAAAGATCTATTATAGAGAAAGTGAACTATACTTACCTTCATGAAATTTTTGCAATTTCTTGCTGCAAATTTCCCAATGATGTTGAGAAGGTACTGGAGGAATCATAGATTTTAATGATTTCTAATATTTCATCAAAGCCTTGATGTTGATTCCAAAGTCCAGACCTAGAAACTACTGATGCCTTTTCAATGTTTTTTCTAACTGAAGGCTTTAAACGTGACAAAAGTGCTTCATGTGATACTTCCAATAATTTATAGATTGGATGTCTACAAGCAGACCATACTGGTACAAATTGACATCTAGCTGCATTTTGTAGCAAGGGATTGTTTGTTCTTACACCAATGCGAAAGTTTATAATTGCTTGCAGGTAAATAAAAGTCTAATGTAAATAAATATAATCAGCATTATTTACTAATTTTTTTATTAGATTAATTCATTGAAAAATATAATTAAAACTTAACTTGCTCAAATTTAAGTTTATAGATTTGATTTGTTTGAGTACTGGACCATTCAAGATAACCATCAACAGTTGGATTTTCTTCATTTTTAACATAAAGCCAGATCAACTCAGAAGCCATTGAATGACAATAAATGTTACATATAGAGAGTCCCAAGATTTATGAAAATCAATGCATTTTCTGAAAAAATCTAATTGTTTTTCTGATTTGTTGTAACCTTGACATTTGGCAAATGATTTAATATCTATTTCCCTTTATATATAATATAGATAATTAGTTTATTTTCTTTTTTTTTCAAATAATAATGCAATCTAAAATTTAAAAAATTTTACCAATTTAATTCTACAAATGCTTTAAACTAAAGACTAGTGCCGTAATCCAAAAAAGGAAAAAGTATGGTTGCAAAAGTGGTCGCAAAAGTAATTGCAACCACTTTTTATATGCTGTAAATACAATTACTACCATCATCATAATTTATGGCACTAGTCTTTATTCTCAATTTCAGTGCAAGATTGTAAGACACACCATCACATACAACAGGTACCCATTTACATTTCCTTGATTTGATTCCTGTAATGTTTTCTATATGTTTTAATACAATTTCAACATTTTTTAATGAATTTGGATTTACAGGTATTGGATCTGGAATGTAAATGCCTGGAACCTCTACTCCTTTGTCTGGTATAAGTTTTTGTGTTATGCTAAGTTTAGATTTTTGAACACCATGTTCAGATTTTTTTATTTAAAGATGCACTCTCAGGTGATTATTGAGAAATTTGGTTTAAATTTAATGAATCAAGGGTTGGTAGTTTCTCATTGCAATGTGGACAATTTCTTTTTTTATTATCTATATTTTTTTCAGAACAATTGAGACATATTTTCATTTTGTTAGGAAGATTATTTTGATTATCAACAACAAGATGATCCAATTGATTTATTTCCTTATTTCTTTCATTACGCTAATTACTTATTATGTCACCAATAAAATTATGAAGCTCTAACTCAAATTCTCTTTGCATATCATCATCTATGTCTAATAATTGTTCAATTTCATCTGAAGCAAGTGAATCATTTTTCCAAGGATTTGTTGTTAACTGGCTATTATCATGTGGATTGAAATTAAAAGCAATGAAGTTAGTAACCACATGAAAAATGACTGAGTTGTTGCCACAATCCAAATAATTTTTTTGACCTCTTTGTTCATTGTCAAAAGCTAAAATTAAAAATCCATCTAGCAAAGGTTCAGGTTCAATTACTAAGCTCTCCAACCAATTAACAAATTTTGAATAGCTACCAGAACTCATTATGTGATTATCTATATCTACTATCATTTTTGACCTTGTCAATGAATATTTGATAGCAGATGTGGCAAGATTTATTGCAGAAACATACAATTTCTTGAGCCATAAATTGCCTCCAGTGCTACAGCATGTTTAAAAAAATTTTCTTCTTGCATTTGTTCACTTTGATCATTATATTCATTATTTGTAAGTATTTCAATAAATTTAACTACAACAGGATTCTGTTTTTCAAGCCATTTTGTAGGAGAATAGGTTAAAAGATTTGACAAAGTAAAATGTTCCATATTTTTGATTGATTTTTGAATATCATGATAAATATTATTTCTTTCTGCTAAAGCAATATCTATAATAGCATTGATTCTTTTCTCTTGAGTATTAAATTGGGTAGCCAATTCCCCTATTTCTTTAATTTTCATGACAGCAACTGTTTGTTCAACATTATAACAATTTATCAATAAAATTTGAAATACATCTTGGGATCTACTGAAAATCAAATCAAATTCATGTGGCAAGTTATTTACATTATTTAAGTCATATGTTGTATCAATCCAATTAGAAATTAGAGATTCATTCATTCAAAGCTTAATGATTTTCCTCTTCCTATTCTTGGTCCTTTTAGATGAAATAGTATTGGTTGCCATTCATTATTATGATGATATATTAAATAAGTTCCTTATAAAATTCTTTACCAACAACCTCATTGTAAGGTTGGACTTTTTTATTAAAATCACTTGAAGGAATTAGATCAAATCTTATTAGTGGGATAACATCCCTCAAAAGAGTTTTCAATTCAACTATATTATTTTTGTTCCATTCTGAAATATTTTCTTCTATTGAAAGGGTTGTTTTTGTTTTTTATGTTTTAATGAGAGTTGTTCTGATTCAATTGCTTTTCTTCTTTTTTCTTCTTCCATATTTTCAATTTGTCCAACTCCCTATTGAATAACATGATCCCAGATATTAATTTCATCTAATCCTAAAATCATCTTTTTCTAATATAGATACAAGTATTGATTTTTCAATAGACTTGAAATTATCAAGCTTAAACAATAATTCAGGCTTATAACCAATTAATTCATTACAACACTCTTGAAGCATAATTGATATTGTAATAAAAATTGATAAACATAGGGTAAATTTTGTTTAAACCATTCTTTTTTTTTCAGTGATTAAATAAAATTGCAAATCCTCAATTAATTCATTAAAGCTTAATTCATCACATGCTTCAAAAAGTTCAAGAATTTAATATGTATCAAGATTATTGACATCAATGATTCCATTGTAAATGTATCTTTTAAAATGAAATAATTATAATGTTTAAAAAATATGTCATTTTTTAAAAAACACCTTTTATTATAATCAATTCAAAATTAAATTAAATTAAAACTCACATTAAAAGAACTTCAAACACTTTTGGAGAGATATTTCTTTTTCAAATAAAATAATTCCATTTTCAGATTTTTTTGCCTAATCATTCAACAAAGTTGCTTTAAAATACAAAGATCTTGTTTCCAAGACATTGGAATGCCTTAAAAGTTTTAATATCATCATTCTCTCCAACTTTAATTTCCACATCATAGTAATCCGATTCGTTCAACAAGTTTTTTAAATCATTAACAAGTTTATTGATGTGTTTCAACAGCAAACCATTTTTGTTAAGATGGATAATATTGTTAAATAAGATATTAGAGATGAATTTGAATTTTTGGACAACGTTACACGTGAAAACATTATTTAATGAAAAAATTCATCATATTAATATATTAACGTTCTACTTTATTATTATGACTTCTGTTAAAATGTAAATTTTGTCTATATCTAACAATGTTTATAAAGTATTTTTTTATAAAAAAGGCTAATTAACTTAGTTTAAAAAAAGTCTTGTTACAGGATCAGCAAACGGAAAGTTTCATGAACTTTTTAGTGGAATTACTAAATTTAATGCTAAATATGGACCTTTTGATCTATTGTTATGTGTTGGTGATCTTTTCGGTGAAAACACGGACGAAATAGATTCTTTGCTGGACGGTAGTATTAAGGGTAAGCATTAAGAGTAGCTATATAATGATTATAAATAAATAAATATATATTCTGATCAAAAAATTTTTTTATGATAATCCATTTGTTGTTATAAAATTGTATATAGTTCCGATTACCACTTATTTCATGTATGGTCAGCATGAATTGCCAAAGGTAGTCAAAGAGCGGGTTGAAAATAACAATGGAGAATTGTGTCAAAGCCTTTTTTACCTTGGTAGGCAAATATACACAATGAATTATTTTTTAAATATAAAATGAATAATATTTATCTAAATACTCATCCAAGTACTCATCTAATTGTGAACAAAAGGTGAAAAGGGTAGTATAAACACAACAGAAGGTGTGAAAATTGCATTTGTTAGCGGGCCATTAGGAAGTTTGATAAGCAATTTGCCCAAAGAAGCTGATATACTGCTTACTTATGAATGGCCTAAATCAATTACACGACATTCCCAGAAGAGTGTAAATGTTCCTCTTGATAGTTGTGGATCAGAATTTGTAGATCATATAGCTGCTACTGTAAAACCAAGGTACCATTTTGCAGCATCTGCAAATACCTTTTTTCAACGGGAACCCTATCAGAATCCTCTATCGCCTTCACAAATAAGCGTTGACGATGATACACAACAAAAATTTGGTACACCTACTTGGTTTGTAGGGATAGCAGATGTTGGCAATTCTAAAAAGGAAAAGGTACAAAAATAAATCTTTTTTTTTTTTAATATAAAAAAATTTTTTTCCAAATTAATATTCAATGAATTTTTTTCATAGTGGTATTTTGGATTTAATATTGTACCCTTTGTACATTTGCCGGCAGCTTCATTAACGTTACCTCCAGATAAAATGACTCAATCACCTTATGTCAACAAGTCAGATAAAAAAAGAGGTTATAATGATGGATTTGGGGTAAATAATAAAATTATTTTTAATATGATTCGTATCTTGATGTAAATTATTTATATTGTACATACGCATATACACACAAACACACTACAAATAGGATAATAATTATTTTTGGAATGCGGGTGATTCATCAGGACCATCAAAAAAACGTGGCAAACAAAATCCACAAGGTTAATATCATATTTGGTTATTTTATTTTACAATTACAATACCTATTCTTTTTTAATTATAGTAATATTTAGGACCACCGCCTGAGAATTACGTATGTAACAGATGTAACGTGCCAGGTCATTGGGTCCATGATTGCCCAGAAAAAAAAAAAGCTTGTGCTAAATGTCGAGAAACAGGGCATCATGCGAAAGATTGCCCTCAGAAATCATCTGCATCAAAAACAGAAGCAACAACAGCTGAAGGAGAAGATTTAAAGCCTAAGAAACCACCTAAAGTTTATGTATGCAAGAGATGTAATGCAAAAGGAGCTCATTTTTTTATTGATTGTCCTGATTATACTTGTAAATTATGTGGTAAAAAAGGTCATACACCAAAAGATTGTTCAGTGTATAAAAGGAAACCCCAAAATCCAAGTAAATTTCTATTGGTTGTTTTTTTTTTAAATTAAAAAAATTGTATTTTATTAATAATAATTATTTTTTTGCATATATATATCAGGCCCGTGTTGGTTTTGTCTATCCAATCCTAAAACGGTCAAACAGTATGTGGTTGCTGATATTAATTTCATTTGAGTAAAATTTTATTTTTTCGTATTGTTTATTAATAGTTTTTTTAATTTATTTTAGTTTGATATTGTCTGTTGGAAATTTGTTATATTTATCCGTAAAGTATCTGTTTTTTTTTATTAGGATTTTTTTTAAGATTAATTATATATATATTATTTTTTTTTTGATTAGTTGGCTAAAGGATCTTTAATAGATACACAAAATCCTAAAAAGGCAACAGTACCAGGAGGTGGACATGTATTAATTGTAAATATACGTTTTATTTGATTAATTTTTCTTTTTTGAGAAAAATTATTCTATTAATATATATATGTACACGCATTCCCATATTTCCATACATGAAAAATCAAGATTGCAATTGATCATTATTCCACATTTCGGGATATTCCAGTTGAAGAACAGGTTGACTTAGTTGATGAATTAGAAAGATACAAAAGTGCATTGAGGAATTTATATAGTGAATATAAAGCAGGAATGGTATTATTTGAAACATCCGGTGCGAATAATAGTAAACAACAGCATTGTCATATTCAAGTAGTTCCAGTACCAAATAAATATGGCTCAAATATCATCAAGCAAGCATTTGATAATGAGGCAACAACTGTTGGTTTCAAATTTCAACAACAAACGCAATCTTCTTCTTCGCCATTGCCACCGCATTATTTCAAAGTAGATTTTCCTGATGGTACAAGTTATATACATGAAATTGGCGCTAATGAAAAATTTGATGTTCAATTTGGAAGGTGAGATAATCAAATAGGAAAGGGTTTTTTTGGTTTATAGTAATAATAACTTTAATAATATTATTTGATATACATACATTACTATTTTATTAGGAAAGCACTTGCTAAGCTTTTAAATTGTACAGATCGTGTTGATTGGAGAGCATGTGAAGTGCCCGAAGATGTTGAACGTGCAGATTCTGAAAAATTTAGAGATTCATTTAGACCATTTGATCCATCAGTAGATATGGATTAAATGTACGATACATATATGTGAATGAAAATAATGACAATAGATGGAGTGTGATTAATTGGGAGAGGGAAAATAATTCTTTTTGCAAATTATAAATTTGCGCATTAATGACAATAATAAAACATATACAAAAAATGATTAATCAATTTAATCTGTATGTTAGTATGACACGTTACTAAATTTGTAACACTCCAGTTCTCTTGCACAAAATAAATTTTAACATTCACCAAGCAGGACAGCTGTACCATTTGTCAATGGTAAATCGGGCTCTTTTTGCCTCTTTAGTCAATCATTCAACTGCATATTGACTAACTCCAATTGATTCCTAATAAAGCAGAAGTTATATGAGGCATGTTCCAACAAAACCAGACAAAAGTGAACATTTTGTATTGCCAAAAATTCCTCATCTGTTATCTTTATTTTTTTCTTTAAATAACATATAGAACTATTTCTATATAAAAATAATTAATATGAACCTAATTTACATCAGATACATTATGGAACCCAAGAATTACAGTACTATTAGGAGTATTTTGAAGAAAGAACAAGGAGAAAGATTGCTTCTTTAAAAAATAAACAATACTCAGACACTTAAGCTTATCTAAGGAAAGAAAGGATTACCTATGAAATTTATCAAAGAAAGAAAAATCATAACCAAAAAAAGAAAATTAGCACAGAACCTAGAAAGAAAAGAAAAATAATTTATTACTTAACTTGGGTTTAATTATCAGTATAGGTGAGCATATTTATGCTATCTTTTAAAGATTAAAGTTAAATAAATTTGACAAAAGAGAATTGGTGTGGGTTGGTTTGACTTAGTTTTTACTTCAATTATTTTCTTTGATTTCTCTTTTAAGTGAATTTTCTCACTTCCTTGGCTAATTCATTTCTTCCTTTTTGCAAAATTGCTTTCAGTAAAATTAATAAATAAATTACTAAATAAATTACTCTTGCGCAGTCATAATTCTTTCCTGTTAACTCTATTAATAATTTTTTCTAATTCTTTGGCTTTCTTTCTTAATTGTATTAATTCTTGATTGTTTTCAGGCGCTTGGATTTCTTTGGTCCACAGCATTATCACAAGTAATCTTTAAATGATTTTCATCTTTGTTCAATTTCCTGATCCCATCAAAAATCATACTGAGTGCCATTAGGACCTTTACCAACTATTTCATCTTCATCAAGAACATAATTAATTTGCTTCCTTACTGCTTCATCTTGAATGAATGTCAAATAAATGAAACTTTACATAGACTAAGATTTACCATCTTTAGTTCAACTTGCAAAGAATTGCATACACCAGATATTTCTGATAAACCATTCTCATATAGTAATGAAATTACTGGTAATGACATGTTAGCTGCTTTATCAGAAAAAAATGTGGGATGAATTGTCAGAAGTAGGATGAATCCACTGATATAACTACTACAAAACTTAATCAAGTCAAAATTGCACATCCTTAAAATGGTTGGTTTCACAATAAAATAATTTTTCTATTATCCGGAAATTCCAATTTTTATCGGAATTTTGAATTCTAAACCGGAAAAAAAATTTAAATTTTGCGCCCTGGATACAGCTTTTTAGCCTGGCGAGAGATAAAATATAAATTGCACGGATATATCTTTGATCACCTGGTTTGTTAATTTTTGTGTTACAAAATATCTTGCTTCTTTCTAAAAGTTGGCACTCATAATGTAACAATAAATACAATCTGGAAAGTCAAAATATTTGTTATGTTACATTCAAATAAAAAGTAGATCACGATCTTTACTTCTCCCACAAGTATGTTTTGTGCATTTTTAAACCCATTTCATACATATAATAATTAAAGATGAATTTTGCAAAAATAATTGGTCTAAAATATAGTGATATCTGGGTATATTTTACGCGTGGTGGCCATCTTGGTAATGGAAATTACCAAACTACGTATAAGCTATGTTTGTCATTTTTTAAAGATGCCTGTCCGTATCTTTTACGTTCTTATATAGTTTCTCAATATTCAAAAGCATCCGAAACTACCAAAAATGAAGTAAACGAATTGATATTACAGCAATTAGATAATGAATAGATAAACGAATTCAAATGTTTTATGTTTGTTTAGTTCTAATAACTACATTTTAATAAATAGAAAATTGGTCCAACTACATCGTGATTATGTTGCTACACTATGTAAAGTTGCAAGTTTTGTTGCAACATTTCTTTCGTTAATAAATTTCATCTTCATAGATTAAATTTCTGCCCAAACGAACCTTAAAACACATTTTTAGGGATAATATATTACTTTAATGGAAGAACTCAAGAAATGCGTTTAGAAGATGGAAGGCAAAAAAGAATTGAGGAATAATCTTTTGTATATATACTAGCTGTAAAAAACGCTCTTCGACAAGAGAAAAAGGTGTACGTATTTTGCATTTACAGCCAGAACTTGCTTTCCAGTGTCCTTTAATTTAAAGAATTATTGAAAGACAAGGACATAAATTTATCTTTTTTCCCAAGTTCTACCGTCATTGAGCATTTTGGAGAGCAGCAAAAAAAAAAAAAAAAAAAAATACATATAACATAACTGTGATTACACTTTTAAAAACAGTTCCAGGAACACTTGACTCTGTATCATCAGAACAAATACGCAAATATGCAAGATTTACTTGATGGAATATTATTAACCAATATCCATGCTTTATGTGCTGTAAAGAGATATAAGTCTCACAGGCGTATCCCAGAAATGAGAAGATTTATATACATAGTTACTTTTTTTAATTACAACGAGCATATCAGCCGATTGGTTTTTTGGACCCTTTTTTCAAACCTTATATCTTATTGTGTCTCGAGTATTTTTAATGTGTAAACTGGTCGGTAGAATGATAATTAACCCTAAAAAAAATTTTTTGCTCCAGGGTTTTGCCAGTATAAAGTATTCATAACGTTGTGATCCTACTGTACTGAATTTTGGGGTTAAAACAAATCAACGCATACGAGCTGCGTGAATTCCATTTCTGGAGGTTAAAAAATTGACAGTTTGTCACAAAGTAGAATCGGAGATCTCATTTCTATTAAATAGCCCCATGTTAGCATATTTGATTAGTTTCAATCAATTTTATTAGTAGTAAAAAATTAAAGCTAATCTTACACACATATACATGTCTAACAAATAATAAATTAAACTTGTTTTTTTTTTGTTGCTTTCTTTATAAAATAATAATAACAATAAAGTATTGAAGATATCAAAATCATTTTAATCGAAACTAATCACGAAAATTTGTGATTGATCGATTAGAAGTAGTTGTTTGACTATATAAATGAATATGAATATGATCATATATGAGAGAGATTAATTATGATGATAAATATAAAATAAAAATATAAAAAAATTTTTTTAATAATAATTAATCAATAAATGTTTAAATATATATATATGCATATATATATATAAACCATCCATCAAATAATTGTATATATTTTTTATTAATTAATTAATTTAATCTATATTCCAAAGTCTAGGGGAAATACCTTTGTCCTCTTGGTGCTACTGGTACATCCTCATTTCCTAATCCTTGATCGAAAAATGCTGGATTAAAATGTGGTGCAGGATATCCTGCTGCTGGTCCTGTCGGTGCTAATTATATCAAATAACAAATCGATTAGAAAATTTATATTATATAAATTTATTTGTTTAAAAAACTTACTAGCAAAATTACTCATACCACCACCGCCCATGAAATCTTCACTATAAGCACCACGCATCATGCCACGACTCATCATTCTTTGTCTAGCTGCTGCTGCTGCTTGATTTTGCATCGCAGCTGCATTCATCATTCTACCACGCGCCATCATAAAAGATGCATCATTAGGTCCACCAAAACCATTCATATAACCAACTCTACCTGCTCCTGCCGCTCCTGTTCCGAAAGCACCGGTACCATATGGTGACATATTTTGTGAAAAGAAATCTCTTGGGGTCGGAACCATTTGTCCGTTTCTGAATGCTGCTGATGAATTACGATTATGAAAATCCATTCCTCCACTATTACCACCACCAGCTGCTGCATTTGGTCTCATAATAGGACGGATTGGTAAATTTCCAGATGTTGTAGATCTTTGTTGCACTGATGATTGTTGTTGACGAGAAGCTTTTGATTGTGGTTCTATCAATAATTAAATATATTTTAATATGAATGCAAAATAAACCTGTATGTATAAATATAGATGTGCATATATTTACAATAAATAAGCAAACATTATTTACCTTTTGGAACAGTTTTGAAAGGATTGCCATTTGCTGAACTTGTGAAATTTACCAAGCATTTTTTATCTGTAATTTCACTAAATACTTGATTGGTTAATTATATAAAATTAATGATATTTATTTATTTATTTATAACTTACGTTTCTTCTAATTTTTCTTTAACTTTACTGGAAGCTTCTGAAGTTGTGAATTCTACATAAGCAACACTATTTAAATAAAAATTATTATTATTATTATTATTATTTTTCAAAAATATGTCTTTATATAATATTAATTAATTACCCTCGTGATTTTCCATTAACTTTATGTTCATAGAAAGTAATCTCTTTAACTTCAGATAAAACTCCAACATCACGTGCTACAGCACAAAGGTCTTCATCAGTTGTCCACTATCATCATGTTTGTCGTTATTATAATTATTATCAAAAAAATTGTATATTTAATTATTAATTAATTAATTAATATCATCACTTACCCAATTTAAATCGCCAATGTATAATGCATTTGTAGCATTAGAAACAGATTTACGATCCATCATAGTTTGGCTTCCATTACTAGTAGTTGATGAGGCACGTTGTACGTTTTGTGTTTGACCTAAAGATTTAAATTTAAAAAATATCAATCATGTATATTATCTCTTTTTCTTTCCTTTCTTGATTTTTCCCCCCTTTATTACCTTCAGTTGCAATAATACTGGTGTTATCACTACCAAGATTTTTATTGTCCTCATCAGTATTTTCCAACTTAACTTCATATCCCTGTTGATTTTAAATCAAAACAAAAAAAGAGGTAGGCGGGTGGGAAATTGTATGTGTGAAAAAAAGGAATTTTGAGAGAGAAAAATTTATCATTGGTGATGGTGACGATTGATAGTGATGGTGATGGTGATGGTGAAGTTAAAAAATTTTTTTAAAACAGTAATAGAATTTTCCCCCAATATACGTTTTGTGTTTGACCTAAAGATTTAAATTTAAAAAATATCAATCATGTATATTATCTCTTTTTCTTTCCTTTCTTGATTTTTCCCCCCTTTATTACCTTCAGTTGCAATAATACTGGTGTTATCACTACCAAGATTTTTATTGTCCTCATCAGTATTTTCCAACTTAACTTCATATCCCTGTTGATTTTAAATCAAAACAAAAAAAGAGGTAGGCGGGTGGGAAATTGTATGTGTGAAAAAAAGGAATTTTGAGAGAGAAAAATTTATCATTGGTGATGGTGACGATTGATAGTGATGGTGATGGTGATGGTGAAGTTAAAAAATTTTTTTAAAACAGTAATAGAATTTTCCCCCAATATATATATATATTATATAGAAAAAAAAAAGAAATCTGGTAAGTTTAATGTTGATTTTTTTTTTTTAGAAAATTTTATTTTTCTTATCCTTTCTTCCTTTTTTCGAATTATTGAATTATTGATTCTTTTTTTTTACATTTTTCTTGTTTATATATATACATTGTATCTTATATACATATATGTTATTTACAAATTAAATAAAATTACTTTCCTTTTTTTTAGTAAAGCAATTTCAAAAAAAAAAATAATAAATAATCACAAAAAAAAAATTTAATTAAATAATTAAAAAAAAATCATTTGTAATATTGTAATAAATACATCATAACGCAGTCTATATAATTAGAAATAATAATAATTCAAAAGTAATATATATTTACAAAAAAAATAAAAATAATAATAAATGTGTTGAAAAGGAAAATCATAAAGACTGCGTTGTGAGGTAATCACGAACCTTTTCACCTTCCATAAAATCTCCAAATAAATCATCTTCGCCAACAACTTTATTTTGTCCAGTTGAATGATGATGATGAATTTGGTGCTGTTGTCGGTTTTGATGATGATGACTATGCTGAATATTATTGTGATCAGAGGTTTCATAATCCATATCTCTTCTTGTTCGTTTCAAAGGACGGGCAGCTTCTTCTGAATTCAAAATATCTGGGTATATGTCATCTTGGCTCTTTTATTTAATAAACATTGGTTTTAGATTTTTTTAAAAATGAAATTAAATATCATTATTATAATAATAATAATAATAATAACTTCTTTACCAATAACATTAAAATTAATTAAATAATAAACCATAGAAATAAAAAAATATTTGAACATACTGTATTTTCATTATTACCAAAGTTATCATCATTATATATGTCAAAATCATCCATTATTAATATTTTTGCTGTTGTAACTAGTAAAAGTTTTTCTTCTTAAAAATTGGAATGAAATCAAAATAAAAAATAAAAAATAAAAATATATATTAATTTTTTGGAGGAGAAATCTACATAAATGTTAAAAAAGAAAAAGATATTGATTAATTTAATTTATTTATTTATTATTTTTATTATTATTACAGATTGTTTTTTATACTAGAATGTATTGTATACAAAACAAAATCACCCTTCTAAATTATTTTCCTCAGCTAATGTTGAATACTATTATAATAATAATAGTAGTAGTAGTAGTAAATAACAAACCACTGACAAATAATAACAACAATGATGATAAAGAATTTCTAATCAAAAGTACATACTTTTTAAGTGTTAAAAAAGAGAAAATTTATAGTATTTTTATCCTGAAAAAGAATAATGAATGATATTACTTGCTATTTAAATAATTATAAATTTTCCGCTCACATGAACTTTTTTGATTGGTTTCTCAATCGAATCACAAAGAATTTTGATTTGTATAATTTAGGCTCTGCTTTTCTTGATACAGTTCACTCTTTATATGACGGACCATTTTGCTTAGTATTAGGAAAAAATGTCCATTATGGAGTGAATCCGCAATATATTATATAAATTAGGTTTAAGGAAGATCCGTCATAGAAAGGTCTGTTGTTATTATTATTATAAGTGAACTGTATATTTTCTCAAGCAGAAAGGTTATCAATAATAATCGTTTTCTTCACAATTGATAATAATAACGAATTAGTAAAATATTTGTTTTGCCATCTATAGAATAATAATGATATATATTGATGAAAATTATTTATCATCACTCTTTATTTGGAATTTTTGCGAAAAAATCTGAAATATTTACTTTATATTGAAACATACGTGTGACAAAAATAAAAAAGCCCGATAACCAAAAAAAAACTATAATTCGTTTCTGAGCATACTTTGCCTAATAAATAAATATTATCAAATGCTGAAATTAGTCTTTCTTTTCATAATATAGTAGTCAAAGTTAATAGTAGCTGAAATTATAGTCAAAATATTTGGCAAATCTATGATTCTGATGGATTTAAAATTTGATTTATTTCATCAACATCATTTCTTATGAGTTGAAAATATAGCACACACATTACTTCAACTTTGTAAATACTTAATTTGGTTCAATAACTAATTTTAATGTAGCAAACCCAGCATAATGGACACTCATTTTGTGCAACAGTCATTTGTATAATAGGCAGGCGGTTACACAGAGCGCGTTGCTTCTGAAACTTCACTAGAATATAGCTGTAGCCTCTCTAAGTCCAGATCATCAGCAAGATCAAAATTATCTCACACTTTTATAATCAAACTTTTGCAAGAACTTTCACCATAACATATGTTATGTTGATCGTTTTTTTGTGATCTGCAACAGTGTCCACTATGCTAGCAAACCCTTGAGATGGAAATATTGCATAAAGACCAATTTTTGAAATTTATTATTTATAAGATAAATGATATGATGAAAGAATTAGTAAATTCTATTAAAATTTCCTGTTTCCATGGATTTATATTAGGCAGTTCGGTTTTTAAATATTCTTCTAATGTGGAAAGGCAACAGACTTATCAAAGATAAATCTTGTCCAATCAAAAAAAGGTTTTGTCATACCATCTAGTTTTTGAATTGTCCTTGATAATAACCATGTGTAATATGAGATGATTGAAAAATTTTAAATTGTAGTGCAATTTGAAATAATTGGTTTAATTCACAAAAATTTGAAGCTATTAAATTTACTGTGTGAACAACATATCTAAAATTCAAAATATGTGAATATGATTTTCTTTGATATTCTTAGATTTGGCCAGAAACTGTTACTACTGCAACAAATTTATGTGACCCAATTTTTTTCAATTAAACCTGAAATTTCATTTGCCATAAAGTCTCCAGTTTGACTGACAGTATTACTAAATTTTTTAATATTTGGAAATAGTTATTATATAATTATATATTGAACCATTAGTGGTGAAATCCATTCATCAGACCTAATTATAATGAATGATGCATATAAAAAATTAAATATTTTAATTAAATAACCTTTAACATGTAGAATTTTTTCACTTTCAAGTCCTGACTGTTCTATCCATTCATGCAACCTCAGATGTCCAGATAACTTTTCTCTAGATGATAAATTGTATCAGGTACTGCAATTCAAAATAAATCAATTATGATGGAATGAAAGACCATAACAAAACCAAGCCTTTTGATCTTTTTCTTGTCCATCTTTTCCTACATCATTTGATATAAGGATTTATAATGACTACTAATAAACGATTCTTCTTTATTATTACATGCCCCAATCTAAATGTTTGCCTTTTCTTTTAATCAAAGAATTATTTCATTATTGTGAAGAGAGAATCAAGGAAGTTATTGTATTACCTGAGAAGTTGTCATTTTTTCTATACACTGCAATGATTGACTCGTAAAAGGTTACACACGTACTTGAAACCTGGTATATCATTTCCTAAATAGGATTTTTAACCAAATCATCTTGATATTAACAATGTATTTAGCATACAGGACAATGAAATATTTCTTATTTTCTTTTATTTTTTATTTAATACTGAAATATTATTTTATTTAAAATGGACGGCTAGTTAAATCAATAAATTATGGGTATTTTATCAATTACATTGAATTAATGCAAAAGAAAAAAAGTCTGATATTAATCAAATGACAGAGGAATGGAATCCTAGCCGTTAATCACTAATTATCTAACAATAGAATAAAATTGTTTTAGAAAAACTATATTATTACTAGTGCTATTCTTGGCACTGTTGTTTTTATTCTTATTCCTCCTCTTCAGATTTAGGAAGTTTTTGCTTGATTAGCATGAATTCATTTGGATATTGTTTGTTTATTTTTGTTTTAATCAATCTAATTAATTTTAAAAAGTTAGTATTCGTTTAGAGTGTGTGAGTGTGCGAGCATGCAAGTATGATTGATATATACACATTTCATTCACCTTATTTTTTTAAAAATGTAATCTAAATCATTTTTCATTTCCTTGATATTTTTAGTATGCATTTCAAACTTTTTAAATAATTCATCGTATTTACATTGACTAAACTCATTGAAATTAGTTAGGCCTGTTACTGATTTTTCAATTGTTTGATGACTTTTTATAATAAAAAGTGAAGAAAAAATAAAGTTAGAAATTATAATAATATTCAATGAAACATAATAGTAATCAAAATTTAAAGTATTATACATGAGCGTTTGACTTTGTACTATATCATCCAAATCTTTTTCATTGGTCATTTCTTTCATACGATTCGTCACATAATTAGAAGCCTTATATAATATTTCATTGTTTGCATTTTCTTCTTGCATTATAGAATATCTAAGATGTCAAATTTTTTTTGTTTTACAATACGTTGTTGATCATTTAAGAATGTGTTATTGATTTTATATTTCCTATAATGATAATTCACGGAACCACATGAACACCTCCACAGAAACTTCAAACAATCAAGAAGAAGAAGCTTCTTCAATATCCGACGAAACCACTACAATAAAATTTACTCCATGTACCATATGTTCAGAACCTGGTTGTATTACTAGTAAACAAATAACAACAACAACCATTAAAGTGATAACAGTAGTCATAAGAAATGAAGATGGAGACAGTATAACTAATTCATTTGTCGAAACAGACGTGTCACCTGTTGTAACTACAATAGAAACATCTGACCCATCACAAATTGAAATTGAAACAACCGAATATCCACGACAACCACCACAACAAGAAGAACTTCGTCAAGAAGAAGAGATACAGGAAGTAGAAAATGGCATTAATACACTTACTATTATCGCTGAATCAGATTAATTTTTCTTAATTATTTTCAAATTAATTAATTAATTATAAAAAATAAAAAAAGTTACAACTAATAAATGATGATAATAGTTGGTTACTTGATTAGAAGAAATATTGATGATAACTTAGATTTTATAGAAGGTGAAGAAGCATTCAAAGAAAAAAATTAAGAGAAGGAGGCAAAGAAAAAATATTGATTACTTCTTTAACCATTTATATGTAATAATAATATATTTTTTCCATTCATTTTATTAACTAAAGCCAAAAAAGTCTTTTATTCTAATTCGAAATCTTTAAAATCCTTTATTCCAAGTCATTACAAAAAAGGGCGAAATAGAAATGAACAAATGAACAAGAATTTTTTCTAAATTTTATCAATATTTATCAATGTATCATCATAACAAAAAGTGTTAAAAAAATATGCAGATAGAAATATCATTACTGCAAGTTCCGATATGTTGAAATGTTTCATGATCAGATTGCCACAAAAATTATGTAGGGTTGTATAAGTATTGGTTTACATATAATAGAACATTCTGATTAAAATTTACAAACACCATCTATATTGTTCGCATGATATGATAATAAAAGTTAAAATTCGTTATCAATGAAAATGACTTAATTTGGAGTACCTTGGCTTGAGGAAAGATTTAACTTGCAGAAAATGTTTACGTAATTAAGACATGAAAATGAAGGTGTGAGTCGTGTCAATTAATTTTTTTTACAGAGTTCTAAATTAATATAGGAACGATCTTCGAAACGAAGTGAATATATGTTGCGAACCAGTTAATATAACAAAATGATATTATTCCACGTGTGTAATAACGCTCTGAAAACTCAAATATATAAGAATACAGCCAGATGGTTAATCAAAAACTTTTTTATGAATTACTATAAAGATTCATTATTAATATAATGAAATCCATAGATTTTTATTACTACTTCCATGGTTTTTTATAATTAATAAAATCAAATGGTTTGCTAATTAAACTATTATAGTCCGTTATTTCCTCACCAGTATAAAATGAATATTTAATTAAATTTGAATCTGCCCCTGATTTTGAAGAATTATTATCATCATGAATTTTGCTTTTTTTCTCCAACTCTTTGAAATCACTCAAAAATTTAATTTGCATTTTT